AAGATGGAGGGATAGCGGACTTAGGTCAGTGGTGATTGATTTTATAAAACACAGTGTATGGAGTGATCTTACGAGACACAATGTGAATGAAGGAATGTGTGAAAACACAATGTACCTGAATGAAACACAATGTATATGAATTTTGTATGCGACAAATAGTGACAAACGGCCAGAAACCTAAACCAGGTGTTGTATGTATAGTGAACATTTGTGGGACCACCACTCATGTCCCCAGAGAGAACATTTTGTTCCCCCCTTTCCAATTACATCCTTTTCCTCCGCCCCTGAAAGCTCGTAGTAGCCTTATTTTGGTACTAGCTTCATCCTTGCCTAGTTTTTGCCAATGAAAGACACACCTCCAAACAATACAGCTTAGTTTTGCTTGGTGTTGAATTCTGTATCAGTGTAATCTCACATGTAATCGCTCATGTCTGTTCTCTTTTGTTTAAGATTAGATTTCTCAGACTCCCCTTTTTTGCCTAAAACCCAGTTGCTGTTGAGTTAAACTCCAACTTATGATTCTATCTTGTGTATCAGAGTAGAACTGTGCCCAGTAGGGTTTTTAATGGCTGATTTTTTTGGAAATGGATCATGAGAACTTTCTCTTGAGCCACCTCTAACCTTGGATTAGCAGTCAGGTGTTTCCTCTTTGAGATGGATTGACGCAGTGGTTGTAACAATGGATCTACGCACAGTGGAGACTGTGAGGACAGGTCAGGTTCAGGCAGGGTTTTGTCCTGATGTAGACAAGGTTGCTGTGAGTCAGAGACGTCCAAAGCATGGAACACCACCACCGTCACCACCACCGTCACCACCACCACTACCACCACCACCACCACCAAGCAAGGATACTCTCAATGATACGAATGGGCCTCATTGTCATGTGTAGCTTATTAATTTTCACTGCTCTCATTTTAAGAAAATAGCTGAAATATTTAACCTGAAATATCTAACTAGAGTTTTTGTTCATTTATTTAGATTACCTCTGGTTTGGAGTTTTTGTGAACAATGGTCATAAACGTTCTCATCCTGGTCGTCCATTGCCCACAAACACACATTTCTGTTGAGTGTATTCAAGCCAAAATCACCACTTCCAATCAGCTGCTGTGTATCTGAAAGCTGGACAATGAATAAGGATGACAGGAGGAGTCAATGCATTGGACTTGTGATGCTGGAGAAGAGTGCTGAAAGTGCATGGACTGCAAAAAGAATAAACAGATAGGTGTCGGAGGAAGTGCATCCAGAATGTTCCTTGGAGGCAAAGATGGTGAAGATTTGTCTCACATGTTTTGCACATGTTAGAAGAAGCTATTCTGCTCTCTCTATTGTTTCTCTTCTTTGTATTTTTAACTCTTCTGTGTGTCCTTTCACGAGCTATGCTAATGAATAAGACTGTCTTACTACTTTAATAAACCTTTTTCACTTGTTTGATAAATTGTCACAAGAAGAAGAAGAAAGAAGGAGGAAGGAAGGAAGGAAGGAAGAAAGAAAGAAAGAAAAAGAGAGCGAGAGAGAGCGAGAGAGAGCGAGAGAAAGAGAGAAAGAGAGAGAGAAAGAAAGAAAGAAAGAAAGAAAGAAAGAAAGAAAGAAAGAAAGAAAGAAAGAAAGAAAGAAAGAAAGAAAGAAAGAAAGAAAGAAAAGAAGAAAAAGAAGCAGCAGCAAATCCTGAAAAGGAACATCATACATGGAAAGGTGGAGAGTGGTTAAAGGAGAGGAAAGCCCTCAATGAGATGGATTGGTACAATGTCTGTGGCAATGGGCTCAAATGTGTCAAGGATAAGGATAGGACAGGGCTCAGAACTTTTGTTCACAGGGTCGCTATGGGTCATACTCAACTCCATGGCACTTACCAACAACATGAGCAATTTTCACAGACTCTCTTGTCCATGTATTCCAGTGTCCATTAGTGTATATATGTGCAAGTGTAACAGGAGGGTAATGGAGTTTCTGTTGTTCTATGGCCTGCCCATGAATTGCAGCATTTTAAGATTTTTCTCTGGTGATGTGTGGGTAATAATCTGTTATTTTCCTTCACATTATCTCATTTATGGAAAAGCTCAGGAATATTTTCATATGCTTGTCAGCCATTTGGAGTTCTATTTTTTTAATTAATTTTAATGAACGTTAACAGAGAGAGATTTTAGATTTCCATACATTCATTGTGGCCTTGGAGTTCTACTTTTGTGAAGTGCCTATCTAAGACCTTTGCTTACTTTTCAGTGGTTTCTCTAGCTAATCGCTTTGTACTCTGGATAAAAACACTTTGGGGGCCTATTGCCTTCTACTTGGATGACTCACTTTTTCGTAGTCTATGGAGATGACTTCTGATGAACTGAAGTTCTTACGTTTAGTATAGCAAAAATGTGCAGGAAGCTCTGATGGCCTAGTGAGTAAGGAATTGAACCGTTTGAGTCTACCAACTGCCTTGTGGAAGAAGGATGGACAATCTCCTCTCATGAGAGTTGTAGCCTCTGAACACCCACTGGAGGGTCAGCTGTACATTCATCCTGACTGGATGGCGATGATAGAGAAAAAGGTATTAGTTATGACGGTGCATCCTCAGATCACACGAACACATCTTTCCCTTTCCTGAAGTCCTACAAGTTTTAATTCTCTATTTTTTTCCACAAAGAAATTTACATCTACATCAACTTTAAAGTGATTTTTGTATCCCACTGGAAGATTGCCATTGCCATTGTAGCTGACCTTCCAGGGAATTTCCAAAAGTATACATTGCAAAGGAGGAGATCATCCATTTCCCCCCCCCAGAATCTACTGATGGATGTGAATTACTGAAGAGTGCTGCTGCCTTGGGGTCACCAGTGCAATGCCCTGCAGACCCCACCATCAGAACTCCTTACAAAGTTGAGTGTTTGCAATTCCTCTCTCTCATTTTTTACTGTCATTTGTTGATGGCTGCCCTTTCTCAACTGTTCTGCAGTGTTACCTCTAACTTTGGGCATGGTATCAGGAAGGGCTAGTTCCTGGAGAAAGACATCATGCTTGGAAAACCAGAGGATCTGCGAGAAAGGGGAAGATCCTCAATGAGATGGACTGACACAGTGTGACTGCAGCAAGGGGCGGAAGTTGGGAGGCGGGATGGGACCAGGCAGTGTTTTCTCTGCTGCAGGTCAGGTCAATATGCACCAGAAAAGACTCAAGGCATCAGAAAACAATCCCTATTGGTCATGGACTCTCTGAGCCTCTCCACAGGCTTGTCTAATCCTCCACCAGCTCCTAGCGCTTAGCAGTAAATCATGACATCCAGTAGGGCAAGGCTTCCCATTTGATTTTCCTTCCTCAAAAGTGTCTCCTCTGTAATTTGCTCTTTTCATTTTCATGTAAATTTTAGAGTTGATCTGTCTGTTCTATTTTTAAAAAGTCTGTGGGAATTTGGATTAGGATCACATTAAATGTCTTCGTCATTTTAGGGAGTCATTACAATATTGAGACTTTGAATCCAAGAACATAACATCTCTCCCATTATTATGTTTTCAATTTCATGCAACACTTTTTACCATTTTCCTTTTAGAGATCTTACTCATACTTTGACAATTTTACTCACACATACTTAATATTTTTAAATGTTAGTATAATTGTATGTTAGAAAACGATTGACTCTTTGAGACTAGTATGTGCATATCCAACTGATTTACATGTATTAGTTTGTAGCCACCTACCTTGCGATACTCTTATTAATTCTCATCGTTTCTATTATGCTGAATATTTTACACGCACAATCATATTATCTGTGAACCACAACGTTTTGGCACTTCTTATCTTATTCTTCCACCTTTAACTTCTTACATTTCTATGATGACTTATTGTGCTGCCTATGTAACTCATTTTAAAAGTTAAAGAGACTGGAAGAAGACAGACATCTTTGTATTTATAATCCTGACCTCATAGGGAAAGTTTTCCACATTTTACAATTAAGTATGATACTTGCTATTTTTAAAGTGGATCCCCCTTTCCTGAAGTAAGGCAATTCCCTTCTCTTCCCACTTTTGGAAGAAGTTTAAATCACAACTACATAATGAACTTCAGCAAATGTTTGTTTCTGTATCAATTCAGATGCCTACAGGATCTTTCTTCTTTACTGTTTCTAGAAATAGATCATCTTTTCTCTTGCGGCAAGTGTTACTGTTATAATCAGTGTGTGTTCATGCACACACATATATACACACACTTCTAAGGTTGGAAAAGAAACTCCTGTTGAATTCCTTTGATTATGCCCAAGGGTAAGCTAGGTCCCAGTGTGGACAAGGGCATCTTTCCCAGGTGTGTGACGCTGGATGTTTCCAGGAAAGATCCATAAGCAGAAATTACAGAGGTCCCATCTATACTCACGCCAGGAAACATAACCATCTCAGCAATATGTCAGACAGCTATGAAGCCCAAGATCTATGAGGTTTAAACCCTAGGGATTCTACTCATGGGCTATTTTCTGAATGTGTTTCAGAACCATCTCTTCTTAGTCCTGTCTTTTTTTTTAATTAGATACTGCTATGTTTATACTCTTTAGTAGCTACCAAAACAGGTAAAATTTCTACTATTTGACTTTGATTTTCTTTTTCAGAATAAGACTTTCCTAGATTTCATTCACATGCGCACCTGATAGACCACTCCTAGATTTCATTCACATGTGCATATGACAGACCACCATGCCAATTAAACCAGACCCTCTGGGCGAGGTGAAGGAGAACCCTGGCATGGGTGTTTTAAAAATCTCTCCAGGAAATATCAATGTGCAAGTGCTTTTAGGAAGCCCCAGAGCTCCCTCAATCTATATCTATTAGAAGCTGCAATTGCTTCGTTGCTTACACAACAAAAGGCACAGAGAAGAGTCCTCATGAAATCAAATGGGTAAACAGATTCAGCACCACCCAAACTAGAGCTGGTGAGATGACACAAAGAAGAAGGAAGGTGGAAGAAGGGAAGATGAGGACAAAATAAAAAGGGAAGAAAGCCCAACAGCAATGGCAGCCAAGGCTACTCACTCAATCACTTCTGAGAAGTCTGTCTGGGTCATGAACACGCAGTTGACCAAGATGGTAACGGTGATGAAGACGCTGAACCATCTGAGGGGCTCGTGTTAAGGAAGAGCTGACGGTCGCCGTGTTTCCCTGGCATTCAAGTGCATGATCACTGTGAAAACGGAGGATTACAATCATAACTCCTAGCTGGACCAGTCTCACGGCGTAAGAACTGCTGGCGTCTCCCGAGGGCCTATGGAGAACGAGGCTTGGTCGACGTAATTTCTATCAGCTGACTGGTGAGTTTGACCACTCAAGTGGCAATTACTCTTTACACGTTAGAGCTGAGAAAATGGACTGCAGTGGAAATGACCTTTCCAAGGTCCCATAAGTAGTTAATTAGGAGACTGAGTTATGACTATAAAATTATTTGTTAACAGATTCCTGGGTAAGACGGAAGGAGGTAGGATCTCCTTTTCCAGAATATTCTTTTGCACCAATGCCTTCTTACTCTATGACGTGGCCTGAAATCTCCTCCAGTGAATGTCTCTTTTATCCTGAAAGACAGAGTCTTCCGAGGACGGTACAGATAAAGGGAAGCTTTGGTGAGAATTAGTATAATCAGATTGCTTTCTTAATTTAGCTTAAACCATTTGCATGGAGGATTGCCTTTGGTCTAAGGGTGGTGGTGAAGGTACAGGGAAGGAAGAGGCTGGTTCAAGATCATTCCAAGCAGGATAAGGTTGTTTTGTGGAAATGGAGTCTCCAGTGAGCAGAGTGCAGGCAAAGAGAGGGCCAGACCTGGAGGAAGGCGCTAAAAAGGGAGGTGAATGGAAGGAGGTAAATTGATGGGGGGGGGATCCAAAGATAAAGTCCCACTTGGACATCTTTTTACAGATTATCTGGGTTCTTAATTACTTCCTGAAGAAGAACCAAGTCTGAAGATAAACTTGACCTATACAGAGAGAGAGCTGCACTCTTCTTTCATCTTTTCACTTTGAGCAGAAGTATTTTAAATCTATTTTTGTTTTGTGTAAATGCCTTTGATGTGCCCTGCTTTACAGTTATTTAGGAACCTGTCTATTTGAAAAGGGAAACTCTACTAATTAAGCCACTTTTTTTTCCCTGTTGACTTACAATTAAATGAAGAAATGCCTTCACACAAAGGACAATGTTAGCCCAAGAATTAAATGCAAATCACAGCTCCAGGATCACAAATCTGCACAAGTAATGAGATATCCGATGTGTGATATTGCTTATGAAAGTGATCATACCAAATGTGATTAGAATGATCATTGTGATGAAATACTTCTAATAAGACTCTGAGAATTGCATGAACTTGAAGGGTAGGTTTGGGGGCTGGAGTTATCAAGTTCATGAGATTTAAATATATCAGTGCAGCTTTTCTGTCCAGCTGTGACTCCTGTTAGTAATTATTTACTCATCAAATCTCAAGATGGAAAGAATATTCACTGGTCACTTACTTCTTTACAGGGGTTTTCTTTCTAATTAGCTGTTTCTTACTTATCTGGATGAAATCCAACCAGAATCCATGGAGAGGATTTTGTATATTTGCTGTTTGTCTTTATTTGGAGTTTTCACTTAATTTTTTTTTTTTTGCACACACACACACACACACACACACACACACACACACACACACACATATGTAGAGATGTCACACTGAGAGACTAATTATCCTAACTAATTTCCATTAAACTCCTATTTCTTCACTACAGATACTGCGCTAGGCAGGGTGCAGACGTGACCTTTTAACTAGCTGTGTGACTTGGAACAATTTATTTAATGCTTTTGAGGGTTAGTTTCATCATCTGCAAAATGGGAATGGTAATCCAAGTAATACCCTGAGGGTTTCGGTGCCTATGACTGTGTTGACACTTAGAAGATATTTAACAAGTGAGGGGCTACTAACATTGTGAAATAGAGCCAACTCTTAATTGAAAAAAATACAATCCCATCCAAGCAGCCACAAACATAAAAGATGGTGAAGGGGGGGAGGGGGAGTTGTGATGTAACTTTACCATCACATGACTTTATAGCTACTCAGTTTCACGTTGAGCGCACAGATGCCACTCAGCCAGGGACTCCGCTCACTGAGGGCTGTCCAGCAGCTCAGCGAGCTCGCCCGAGTTGGAGAGCAAGCTTCTTTTTAAAAAAAATTATTATTGGAGGCTTCTACGGAGAGACTGGCTCCCATCTGTCAGGCAGCTGAGGCTAGGCTGTTTTTGTAAATCAGCTACCAGGACGCCAAGGCTGAATTTGTCATTAGGAGCTTCCAATTTGGATAGCCACCAGGGAGGATCCTTAGAAACCAAGCCAAAGCCTCTTTGTTCTACTAGTTTGGCTTGCCTTAGTGGGGGGAAAGAAAAGAAATGAACAAAATAAACTGAGAACAAGGTCCCCAAAATCTGAAGGCAGCTTTGTGAAGCCAGTTCAGGCAATGACTCTATACTATGGACACTTGACCAATGTGTGTCTTCTCCATTACATTCCTCAATGACATGGACCTCGAGCTGTTGACATTTTTAACATGCTGGAGCAACTTGTGCTGTTGGCAGTGCCCATTGGCCCTTGAGACAGCCTGTACTCTGTCCATCATGGATTCTTCTTGCCTCCTGCTAAGTGTTGCTCCATCACCCGAGAAGCCGTCACTCTTCTCATGGCTTCGGCACCCGTTAACAACCCATGCCTATCCCATCTGCCCTAACTAGTCTTTGGGCCCTTCTCCTGTTCTTATGTTGTGAGTAAGGAGTATGGGAACAATGGGCTACATTGGGGCGCTTCAGCCAAAGTGTCTTCCAGAAGAAGGACTTTGAGTTGTTCCATGTTAGTCTATGATGAGCCCAAACTTCAGGCATTTGAGCTGCACGAAGGTCTCTCCTATGTCTTGAAGAATGTTGTCAAGCATCAGGCACATTAAGGGTGCACCTTTTCCCATTTAATGACACCATTGTCCCAGGATTCAGTTGGAAGAAGGCTCTTTTGCTAACTCTTTTTTAAAATTTTCTTCATTTTAAGTAATGTTTACAGAGATTACAGCTTTCCATTCATTCATTCTTGCATTTTTCACCATGCGCACCATTGCCCCCAGTTTGCTCTTCTCTTTGAAAAGTAAAAGAAAAATTCTTTCATTGTTATATAATCCCCACTCCCACCCTGCCCCGAGTACACTCCACTATGTAACCTTCATTCTAGACTTTTGTCATAACCATAGTACCCAACCATATATCCTTTTAAACAGTTCTCTCCCTCATCTGTTTCAACGCAGTATACTCAATTTATCCAATTTTTCTAAGTCTCACCCCAACCGTGATGTCAGTCCCATTCTACAACAATGGCACTATGCAGTATTTGTCCTTTTGTGGCTGAGCTATTTCACTCATCTTTTGCTAACTCTTAAAGGGAGTATTGACCACACTGGGAAAGGTCCAGCTCTAACCCCTGGAAGAAGTTTATGTTTATGCAAAGGATACGAGTGGACTGACACTTTGATGGCAGTTCTTCTGATCCGGTGGAAAGGGCTGAATAGCCACAGAGCCTTCGTGGCACTAAACCGAGAAATGGTTCTTCCTTTGTTCAGCACCATGAATGTCTAAAAGGAAGTAAAGCAAAGAAGGAAGTGGACCTCCAGTGAGAGACAAGCATCTCCACAATCATGCTTTAAGGGAATGTGCCGCTGTGCTGCTATCTCAGCCTCAGGCATGAGAAGGACTCTATGAGATAATGGACAGGTTCATTCATAGGGTCTCTATGAGTCGCCTCCAACTCGATGGCACTTAACAACAACAACAACAGAGAGAGCAGTCGGCCTAGAGGACAGAAAGCCATGCTCCCAAGCCAAAGGTGGGTGACTTTACTCCACGGCCCTCAGGCCTGCCTTTAATTGTTTCTGGTGAAACATTCTTCTAGGTCGTGTAACCCTGGTCTGTCCACTTGCTGTACAGAGAGGAAACTCGTGGTTGCTGTGAAGCCGAACACTATGGCATTGATGAGTCAAATGCAAGGATGGTTACCCCTGGTGGACAGTGTTGGGTGGAGCTCCCTGATTAAAACAAGCTTGGAAGCAGGAGTGACATCCACTTCCACAATAGCTTGCCTCTGGAAACCCTATGAATCTGGAGAAAAGGCGAAAGTTAAACAGGTGTCCAGGTCTTTCATGCATAGGGTCACTATGAGTTGCCTCCATGTTGACGGCACTTAACAACAACAACAACGCTGAGCCCTTTGGGAAACCTCCCAGGGCTGATAAGAAGCATTAGGTCCAGGGTGAGGACGTGGGCACAGGCAGACAGCCTTTCATGGAGTTTAATTTCTTTTATGACTGGAGGACCCTCCTTGGCCTCCTCATCCTCCTCCTTTTCTCCAGCTCCTAGACCTCTTCTTCTTAAGCCTACTCCTAGCTCCTGGAGGGTGAAAGCTCTTAGCAAGGAGAGTGGGGGGGGGGAACCCAACACACCACAAACAAACAACACTATCCCAAGTGCCTTTTTCTTTTACAATTTGTGTTTAGGGTGGCTGACTCCTGCCCTTCCAAACTGTGACATTCACCCTACATCCCTTTTTCTGCTACGGAGGACATTTCAGATGCAACACAGACAGATTAATGGTCACAGAGCAACTCTCGTTTAAACTCGGGGTTCTCTATTTTATGCTTGAGGACCTCAAGGAGGTTTGGTTTCTGTGGAAGACACAGACATAAACATTTGCTGTTTTAGAAACTCTGAGGGAATTCTGAAACACAGCAACATAGGAGCATGCGTTCCAGTAGTGATTAGGGCGATGGTGTGATCACACATCAACAGCTCCTGCTGGGCGCTCACGTGAGAATATGAGTGGGAAAGGTGGAGGGTATCTAAGTAGCATTATTATGACAAGGATTTTGAGGACTGCAGGGGTCCCAGACCACACTGTGAGCACCACTAGTTTAAATCATCCTGATTTCTATGCCTGTTTCCCAGCCTCCTCCAACCTCAAGTTCAATGCTCTTGAAAGAAGGTGGTAGGCAAAGAGTCAACACCTGTAGAAGCCATGGGCCAGTACTGTTTGAAGGGACCACTGTTTGTTTTTGTTTTTTTAAAAAATATTCTTTTGTGTGTGTACCATCAAATCTGATCCAACTGGTACAGGAGGAGATTGCCCCTCCTTCTCTAGCAGAGCATCTGGAGGATTTGAACCGTGTGCCTCTGGGATTGCAGTGCAGCTTCTTGCCACTAGGCCACCAGAGCTCCCTGGGACCACTGCCTTTGAGGCTCTGATGGTGTAGTCCATAATGCACCGCTTTCTTAGCCCACAGGCTGTGTCTCTCTGGTAGTTCAAATCCACCATCAGCTCTGAGGGAGAATGATGGACAATCTCCTCCATTGTGATTAACTCCCTTACTAACCTGCTGGGAGGCAGCTGTGAGGTGAGGCAGCACTTGCGGATTTGGTTTTAACTGGTGTTTGTCATAAACGCCATGGAAAAGGGTGCCAAAGAGTGACCCAGCGTCATCAAAGTGATTCCGGTTCATACTGACCCTCCATTGGGTTTCTGAGGCTGTAAATCTCTCTCTTTTATTTTATTTTTTTTTTATAATGAGCAATGGGCCCATTTTCCTCTCTCCGAGCAGCTGGTGGATTGGAGCTGCCAAACGTTTAACAGCTAAGAGCCTGATATGTTACACAATACACCACCAGTGCTCCTTTCAAAAGGGTTAGTTCGTTTTACTGGTTTTGTTTTGGTTTTTTTGTTCTCATTCACTGAGTCTGTAGGGAGTTCTGAGGGACAGTGCGCAGGGAATTGTGCTCTTAACCCAGCGCCACGCCTCCCTGGTGATTTGAATCCCTCAGCTGCTCTTTGAGGGAAGGTTGGTCATTTTCTCCCGTGTGACTTAGAAAACCTGCTGGAGGGTCAGCTACGAGTCAGTCCTGATTTGATGGTGCTGAGAAAGAACTGAGTCTGTACCTCATTGTCACTTGAACGGGGGCGAGGAGGACCCCTGAGGTGAGTGGGATAGAGACGTCTCTTACCCTGTGTGTCTTATAGAAGGGGTCCAGGTCCTCCAGGGGTATCCCAACCAATTCATTCGGCAGCTCGCCGTAGAACTTGGGCAGCTGGTTGCAGGCCTTCAGGTCTAGCTGGGGCCGAGGCTTCTCCTCTTCATTCTTTGGCTCCTTGTGCTTTTCTCGGGTTTTCTTTGCTGCCTTCTCTGCCTGGATTTGCTTCTCAATCTCCACCAGGGACTCTGGGGTGAACTGACGGAAGTTGGTAGTTTCCAAAGACCCAAAGGGGAATTCCATCTTCTCATTCTTCTTAAAAAAAAAAAAAGTATAGACTCTTAGGAGAGTGAATGTAATTACAGAGAGTTAAGTCTCCCCAACATCCTCTTCCCCCCCATCCTTCCCTGCTTTCTTGCTAGAGTAACTCTCCCCATCCCACCCTGCAGCTTCTCTTTTAACTCAACTGAGTTCCCCAGGACCCAACGTCCCTCTCATTGCTTTTAGGAAATGCTGTTATTCCATACCTCCCCAGGTACCTAAGAGTTATGTCTTTGCTCTCATGCACTTTTAAATGATTGTTCCTTCATCGTTTTGCCCTACCCATCCCCAGCCATTTGGCTCATTAAATCATAGCCTTCTCTCTTCATTTCTATAACCACTGAGCTCCACGAAGTCTCCTTAATTCACCGAAGACTTTGACTCATGATCTGCGCCAAGTCTCATTCTATGTTCTGATAGCAACTTTTCATTTCGGCACATTTCCCAGCTGTGTCTCTGGCCCTCTTTGAGCTCCACTTGGGCTTCAGGCTACATTCCACACGGACTCTCTCCTTGAAATTCTTTTTTTACACATCCACATCAGATCACATCATTCATCACTTTAAGGACTCCTTTGTTCTTGTTCTAAATCCCAAACCTAAGCTGATGTGTATCAGCCTAGACTTGAACTCCTGAAAGGTCTGAAGACATCATCCTGCCTGAAAAATAATAGTGGCCCCTGGTCAGCAGATACTTCTTGTCTGAAATTTCAAAGATGCTTCATCATTCTTGACTGTTCTGTCTCCCTTTACATAAGCCAATGATGACGCCAGCTATGCTGTGGAGAAAATACACATCCTTTAACTTCTTATACCTACAAGTCTAATTTATTTACATCATCACTTTTCTTTCTTCTCTTCCCTCCTGTCATGTAGGGAAATGATCATTCTTTATTCCGGCAAAGGCTAGTATGCTCCTCTTGTATCCCTCTCAACTTCATGAACCTCTCCTTCCTTTTATATTGGTTCCTTCCTATCTGCATTTGGAGATGCTTATGTCTCCTCCATCTTTAAAGACTTATTTGATACAAGGGTCCTTTAAATCTTCCCCCTTCTCTGTGCCTAGTCTCTTCCAGGATCATGAAAGATTTGCTTTTATTCATTGCCTCCAAGTACTCTTTGGTCCTTGTAGAGTAACTCCTGCCCCAATTATCTCACTCACATGCCTCTTTGAAAGATAGTAGAGACCCTCTTATCAGGGTTCCATCTGGGAAATGCTTCTCAGCCCTTTCTTGATGGTCCTTTTGGCTGTTTTAACCACTTCCCATTTCTTCCAGTTCTCTCTCTCCCTAGTTGCTCTGACACATTTCTAACTTTTGCCTGTTCCTTTTAAGTCTTTTCTTTCTCAGCATTTCATAACAGTGAAACCTGAGATTCTTTATTATGTCTTTTTTTTTTCAACAGTAACAGCAACAGCACCCGTCATAGTATCAGCCAAGTCCACTGTGTTCTAGACTCTGAGTGAAGCCGTTTTCTTGCATTACCCATCAGTGTACCCTAAAAGGCAGTAGCTCTGATATGTAAATGAGAAACCAGAGAGGCAAAGTTAGCTATTCTAAGATCATGTAGCAAAACAGATCTAGATGTGCTAACACAATCTTTTGGGAATGAGTAGCTTGCCCACCCCCAGGGGATCAATTTTCAACTATATGTGAATGATTCCTGAATTTCCATCACCGGTTCTGATTATGGTCACAAGGTCCAGACTGCCAGCTGATGTCTCCATGTGACTGTTTCATGAGCACCTCAAACTCAATAGATGCAAAACTGAACTCATTTTCATCCTTTTGTGGTGCCTGTATCTATTTCTTGTCTACTTCTCTCCTATGAATGGCCCAAACGAACCTATTTCTATCTCTTCACACAACTGAAACTCTTGGTCATGTCTCTTTCGTTCCCATGTGCAGTGATTCATCGATTACTGTTAATTCTGCCTTCTTAGTATCTTCTTCCCACGTGTCTCCAATTTCTCCACCATGTCATTAGTCCAACCACCGCCATCCCAAAAAGCCTACGTACCCCCTTTTGTCCTTTCTAACCTATTTTCCAACTATAACCAAATGATCTTTCTTAAATGAAGAGATAATTATATTATAGCTCAGTTTTCATTCCTTGCAAACCTCTTAAACTATGTGTTTACATCTCTAGAACTATGAGGATTCAATTTTCTCCTTGAAAAGGACCCATTATTTCTTATTTAAAAGTCTATCCATGTTCCATTTCCTTGGCCCCAAATTATCCTCTTGTTTTGCTTTGTCTGTCCCCAGTCATTTTTGAACTCTTGACTTTCAGAACTCTGGTGACGTACAGTCTGTGGAAAGCCACACTGCAGGCTGAAAGGCGTGCCTCTCTAGTGGTTAGAATCCACCTGCAGCCTCCTGGGAGAAAGATGGGCAATCTCCTCCCGTGTGATTTGCAGCCTCTGAAAACACATTAGAGGGTCAACTATGACTTAGCTCAGAGTGCAATGAGGTTGTTTTTTTTTACTTTCAGATAATTTCCTTTGTCTATGATTGGATATGAAGTCTACGCTGGGATTCTCATTTTATACTTGCATGACTTTCCTCACATTCTCTTATAAAACACCTCTGCTTTGTGATTGCTGTTTACCTTTCTATATTTCTCACTAGCTTGTAAGCCGAGCGAGAATCAGAAATACACATTCTTGTTCATCTTTGATTTTCAGAACCTAACTCAGTGTCTGGCACTTTGGTGGTAGCTGTTGTTGTTGTTAGGTGCCATCGAGTTGAGTCTGACTCATAATGACCCTATGAACAAAGATCTGAACCCTGTTCTGTGCTGTGTCATCCTCACACTTCCTGACACATAGGAGCCCATTGCAGCGGTTACCGTGTCAATCTACCTGGTTGAGGGTCTTCCTCAACTGACCCTCCACCCTTCCCAGCATCATGTCCCTCTCCAAAGATAGCACCTCCTAGTTATGTCCAAAGTATGTGAGGTGAAGCCTCATCATTCTTGCCTCCAGAGGGCGCTCTGGCTGCTCCCTGTCTGTGACATGACTATTCATTCTCTTGGCCATCCAGGTGAAGTTCAGTGCTCTTTCCCAACTCCACAGCTCAAAGGCGTCAATTCTTTTTTCTGTCATTCTTATTCATTTCCAGGTCTTAGATGCATAGCTAGTAATCAGAAAGACTATGGCCTGAATCAGACACACCTTAGTCCTCAAATTGACATTTCTACTCCTCAATAATTTGGCACTTTGGTAGGTAGTATATATTTGTTGGGTGAATATTCGTGATTTAAAAAGTTCATAAGGCGCCGTCTGCATTCCTGGCCGGGTGCCTTTGCCCTGGCGCCCTTCCCTTCTTCAACAGCCCTCTGTCTCCTAGATTGAGAACTCTGTCCAATAAAAGATGACACACTCAAAAAAAGAAAAAAGTTCATAAATAAGAAAACTAGAGAACATTTTCTCTCAAATGTGTACCTAAAAAGAATAGATTTAACCACAGGAATAAAATGAATCAAATATATTACCTAGTCTAGTTCATGTCTCTTAAAAGCAACGTATTAATGGACTTTGCTTTATTTTTTTAAATCCATTTTGCTACTTTTTTCTCTTAATCTGTTCATTTAAGCCATTCATGTTGAGTGTGATTATTACTAGAGGCTAGGTTTTATCATTGCAGTTTTGCTGTGTTTCTTTTTTTATGTTGCTGATTCATCCACTTTCCTCGGCTGCCACTGTGTTTAGGACTTCTCTTAGTCTTTCTTGGAGAGTTGGTCTTGCTTTCGCTGGTTCTTTATTTCCTGCTTTTTTGCAAATTGCCCAACTACTCCTCTATCACTTGTGATGGAGAGTTTTGCTGGGTACAGGCTCCGTGGCTGGCAGCTGTTTTATTTAGGCCTTTTCTTTATACCATCCCATTTTCTCCTTCCTTACATGGTTTCTACTGAGAAATCAGAGCTTAAGCTAATCGGCTCTTCTTTTTTGGTGACTCTATGTTTTCCTCTTGTTGATTGTGATACTGAACACTGGGACACTGATGTGCCATACGTGGTAATTGTTACCCATGGTGGACAGTGTTTGGTGGAGCTTCCCAACTAAAACGAGCCTGGAAGCAGGAGCAGCATCCACTTCGAAATGGTTTGCCTCCGGAAACTCTATGTACGAACAGTGCTCAGGCCTTTTGTTCATAGGGTCATTATGAGTCATCTACGACTCGACGGCACCTAACAATAAGAACAGTGGCGTTTTCAGGCTAGTTTACTCCAAAGTCAAGTTGACCATGGCAGAGGCAGCTCTTGGGCCCAAGAACCCTATGATAATGACCTTAATTGTGTTACCAGTACTAGAAGCATCATTTGAACCAAGTACTTTTGTGGTGGTGACGTTACTTGCTATTGTCAGTTTGAGAGGTAGCTCTTGAGCACAACACTGCTTTGATGGGGAACGGCTTATGCTCACCGGTCCTAGACAGAAATATCCCTATGCTGAGGACTCTTACTTCTACTACCAGCCTTAGAAGCAGTTCTTGAGCTCAGTACTCAATATCAGGAGAAGCCTCACCTCTGACTTCACCCAAATGTGTTAATGCCCTCAAGAACTCTCTTAACCTTCCTCCCTCTCTCTTCTCTTACCCATTTGTACTTGGTCTGTCTCTCAGGAATTTTTACAAGACTACTTGCATTATATCACTGAATGTCTGTCTTCTCTCTTCTTCTGTACGAGAATTTCTACATGCTGTGTCCACATATTGATTAGCCTGACGTATTTATGCACTTGTCTTTAAAATGCTTGTTGAATTTTATCAATTTCTCTGTTTCTTCCTTTTTTAAGTGACACTGACTGAATTGATTTTGTCTTCTTTGACTAGCGTAGAAGAACCTCTCGTGAGTGGGATTATAGTTGAGTCTTCTAATTCAGAGATAGAGGAGCAACATAGAAACTCCCTCACTGGAATGTAATGTTGGGTGCAGGCAAAGGAGTAAGATAGAATTTCAAGAGTTGAATTGGGTTTTAAT